GGATCCGCAATTCTCTGATATTAACCAACCTTACTGTAAGCTCCTCTCCGGCAAGTCTATTGCTCTAAAATATATATATATTATTTTTATTTATTTTATTTTTTTGATAATTGTACATGAAAAGGTCTAAAAAAAAAAGAAACTCAAGACATCACTTTATGACCTTCTTTTATCAAGCGAATAATCTACTCCATTTGACATCTTTGAGATATATTTTTGACACTCCCAACAACAAGAAGCGACTCAAATATCTAATTCTTCACTAACAATGAAGAAAACCTTTCAGCGGTATTTTGGCCATCTCTCCTCAAAGGAAAACACTTAGAACATGACGAGTGAACTTCTACAGTATTTAATTCATGGCTCATCACTGTCTAAGGTTTATCAAATGGTCATGAGTATTTTATAGTATTTCAATTTTAATAATTTTTTAACGAATCAGATTAACCTTAAAATTTTAACATCAAATTTTATAGGCGTGTGCCCCTTTGTGAGGCACACTTAAATAAAATATATAAATATTTCAAATAATAAAAATAACTAAATTACCTCTATCGATATTTTGGTGGTATTTTTATCATTTGATTTTCTAATAATTTGTTTAATATTTAATTTTTGTACAAGATGGTTAGATGTATACATGCCCAAATAGTCAGGTAAATGACAAATTTATAGAAAAATATTGAAGTTCAAATACTATTAGCTCTTGGGAACAGACTTTGATGATGACAATGATAAAGTACTATTAGATAATCATAACCATCCGATTGACTTGTGATGAACCATGAATGAAATACCGTAATAATTTTTATCCCTCAAAAATATTTGCCAATAACATGACCCTTTCTTAAAAGGGTACAATTTGTATAGAGCCGAGGCTCTAAACAATCAAATTAGAGCCCACTTTCAAATAGTATCGAGAAATATGCTTTCAATACTAAAAATCTTTGACTAGCGTTAAAATATATTTTTATCTATAATTATAAAATTTAAAGCTTAAAAAATAGTATAGATTGAGCGGATCTAATGAAAATTTGAATAACTTAAAGATTGACAGCCAAAAAATGCATTACAAGATGTATTATTTACAAAACTTGAAATCTATTTTTTTTTTCAAGTCCATGCATCTTGATGTCGAGACGATTAATTTAAAGATATTTGAGCAGTGAACTTTTAAAGGTAGGCTCTAATTCGATTGTTTCGTATAAACTTAAATATAGCCATGCACTTATTGATAGTGCGCTGAATCCGCACGCATGCCATCCGGCTAACAGACGGCGATGTGGAAGTACAATAATAGACTCCACCATCTCACGGTATATCGTACTTTGCAACAGACCAATGAGAATTATTTTGGCATTCCAAATGTTGTTGTAGGCATAGTGCTAGCATAAATCGTACCTGAAAATTTACACTTTCCTCCCTGAAAACATGTATAAATAGGGGCATTTTGGAGGTGTGAATGAATTGCTATTGCATAAACACTCAAATACAATTACCTAACCTTCTAAAGCCTGAAGAAAAGAAGAGAGAGAAATAGAATAAAGAAGAGAGAGAAAGAGGGAGAAGAAGATGAAAGAGGAAGAAACACAAAATGTTGGGCCAAAGCATAAAAAGGGAGGGATGCGAACAATGCCCTTCATCATGGGTATAGTAAACTCATTCCCAACTTAGACATATAAAACTTTTATATTGAGATATTTCCTTTATGTAATTTGGAAATTTTCATTCTAATATTGTTATATCCTTCATGTTCTTTGGCATCCAAATGATTTGAAAAGACTATATACAGTTTTTTATTTTATTTTTTGGGTAGATGGATTACATGCCCCTATATGTTTTCAAAAGAGTCGATATTTGAAAGTGTTAATGAGAATGAAGGTTGTGACCTTTTGAATAAGGGTCAGGTCGTATTACCACCACGATCCAAACCCCAATCTCATAATACATAAATTTTCATGTTTTTTAAATTCTGCCCTTCTTGTTTTGTACACTAAACATGGTACCAAGTATATAGAGAATTTTATGTTGAGGTCTTTCCAGGATAACTTGAGTAGAATGCATTAATATTTTTATCCTAAAAATTTTTGCCCTTCCTATTTAGTGAATCATTAACACCTAGGTTTTTCAGCAATCAACCAAAAGCACTGGGTGAATTGTTAGAAACACAAGGTGTTTTTATCACTAGTTTAGTCTAGGACCCACCTGATCCTTTGAAAGATATTTATTGAAATATTATTTATTAGAATGGATATTTATTGAAATGTTTTTTGAAAGATTATTTATTAGTATGTTGGGTGCATGATACACAGCAAATGAGGCGTGTGAGAAACTTGCGGTGGTTGGGTCTTCTGCAAATTTGTTGTCATATTTGACAGCGCAGCTTCACATGCCATTAACAAAGGCAGCAACCACTCTCACCAATTTTGGGGGCACGTCGAGCTTGACGCCATTGCTGGGAGCCTTCATAGCTGATGCATTTGCAGGCCGATTTTGGACCATCACTGTTGCCTCTATCATCTATCAATTTGTTAAGAATCCTTTCTTTTTACCTCTTCTCTCTTTATTTTCCCTCCTCTCTCTATCAATACCTCTTCTCTCTATCAATTTGTTCAGAATCCTTCCTTTTTACCTCTTCTCTCTTTATTTTCCCTCGCGCTATCTCTCACACGCACACTTGTTTTTTATTGTTTAAATTGGCAGGAGTAGTATGTTTAGGATTTGGCTATTATTTAAGGGATTTTATACAAACTCACACAACAGTTATGATAATACGTGGAGTCGGCATGGAATCGTTTGGTCCAGCTTGGAAATAGGTCACCATGTTCCAGTTCTACGTATATATAGGAAAATGGTCGAGTTTAGAAAGCAACCGGTAGTTTTGCACAGTAAAACAGTAATTCTCTACAGTCAAACAACGATCTGAGCCCGATCCAAACCGATTTAGGAGGTACCCGATCAGGGTCACCTATTCATCTTTAAAATCAATGGTTAGGAGCATCTCTCTCTAAGACTCCTCAATGTAGGACCACTTTTGAGTACGATTTGAGGAGCCTAAATCCAATAATTAGGATCGTCTCTCTCTCTTTCTCAGTCTCAATCCAACAATTATGATCTCTCTCTTTCCCGGTCGTCTTAGTTAGGATCCTCTCCATCTCCATCGCCATTTAGAATGGTTCCCACTTCATAACGCAGAGCTCATTTTATATCCCTCGTGATTAATCAATATCAGTGAATTTTCACAACTATAATCACACTGGTCTCATTTTATTGCTTGTTCTTCATGCCTCAGCTGTCTCATGTCTTTAGATACGGTCCAAATTTTTTTTTTAAATAGATTTTTCTTATTTTATTAAAAAATAAAAAATAATCTGCCTTATTTTATTAAAAAATTAGCATTCTTAAGAAAATAAGCTCTCTTACTTAGCTCAAAATGATGTGCAATGGGCAGGATTCGATACCTCAACTTCTTATTGAGGTCCCATATATTTTTATCGACTTGAGTACTTGTGATAAGAGTAAGTATCTTAATACATAAATATACCTTAATTATTTTTGTTAATCCTTTTCTTTTTTCACATGACACGATCTTGGCCAAGTTACTCGGACTTGGCCAAGTCAATTTTCTAAACACTTGGCCAAGTTACTCGGACTTGGCCAAGTCAATTTTCTAAACACTGATCAATAGAAATCAAACACACCAGATTAGTTTTTGTTTTTTTAAATAAACACTCTCTACGACCCAAGTTACTTACCTCTCTTTCTTTCTCCATTTTTTATAGTATTATTCCTCCATAATGATGCTGGAGCTAAAAGGAGTTCATCAAAATTCACTGCCCACTACATAAAATAGCCTTCTTAATTTTACAATTTAAAGCCTCAACTTTATATAACCCTCTTTTTAAAAAAAATAAAAAAAAATCTCTCCCATGTGATGTAGTGAGAGAGGGAGAGGGAGGACTCGTTTGTTGTTAGTGATGGGCACGTGTAATTACTCTTAATTTTGGGTTAGATGAGCTTGCATTAAAGAAAGTTGAGGCCACTACTTACCCCATTTAATTCCCTTTTTGGATCTCATATTTTCCTCCAAATACCAACAAAAAAACCTATTCTTATCGACATGATAAAAAGAACCCGTACCTTGTTCCCATGTGGCCACAAGAACCCTCTAGATTTTCATAAAAACAAAACCTCCTTCATGCTTGTAGCCACAACTTTTACAGGGCATTTTCCTGTTCTTTTATCACCCTTTTTGTGAATGGCCTTATTTATCCGATTTCTTATGTTCATGAATTATAGAGATAAGGTCGCTGGCAGAGTACACGTCGCCTTTCTGATTTCAAACTGGCTTTTAGAGAGAGTATGACAAAAAGTTCAGAAGTTTAGAGACAGAGCTTTAACAGAGCCTAAGGGCTGTAACTCGGTGCTAGTCCCGTTACGTAAAGGCGATGAGTTATAACTTTTGGCTTTTTATGCACAAAGATAGAAAAATCATGGTAAAAAGCTCAAAAGTTTAGAGAGAGATCTTTAAAAAGGCTGTAACTCGATGTTAGTCCCGCCTGCACAAGGTCTCGAGAGATGTGATCTCGAAACTATCTTTAACCTTTAGCTTTTTATACCTAAAATGATCGCTCCTAATACTCGAACTCACGCTTTTGTACTGATTATCCGAGTTTTTTACCGTGGCACCAAGTGAGTGCCCGTTCTCGTATGGAAAGACCCCGGAGAAGGTAAAAGTTGTGTGTGTGAGAGATACAAACAAAGGTTGTTAAAGTCGGAACGGGCGGGCATAAAAACCAGTGTCCTCAAAAGGTGGATAGAGAGAGTGACCACAACAAAATGATGACGAATCACAAAATACCTTAAAACCTTCAAATTACGTTTCCTCCACTGATTTAAAAAAGCACACGTCATTTTCTTCTCTCTCTTTTAATCTCGGGTAGCCCTTGAAAATAATAATAAGGGAAAATAAGAAGATCCTTCATGTAATATGTTTTTTAGGGTTAAGTTAGCATACGAATGCATCCGTAGCTGTAGAGGTAAGGTGCATCTTGAAATTTTATCATGGTATATAATTTTGATGTAAAATGTTCTTAAGATTATCTCAAAATCTATTTTTATAACTAATTATAAAATTTTAAATTTTAAAAATGATTAAAATCAAGTAGATCTATAAACATATAAAAATCTTGAAAATGAACGGTATAGATAATATGTTGTAAAATGCACTATTTCTAAGACTTAAAAGCTTTTTATTTTTCATGATCCTCGATGTCGAGATGATCAATCAAAGGGTTTTCAACATTAAAACTACCGTTTCCGATGAATTTTTGAGGTGCATCCGTAGTTTTACATTATAAGTTGCATCCTTATATAAACTTTTTCCATTTTCTTAAATAACAAAAAGCGTGCATATCTTTCCTGTTGTCAAATTGCCCAAAACATTTGGCCATTTCCCAAACATGTACTATTGATTCAACGACCAAAATACCCTCAAATCTTTTGGAAAATACCTGAACCACTCTTAACTACTCCATGGGCTTTGCTGCTCACAGGCAGGGATGGCAACAGGTGAGGCCTGGGGCAGGTTAAACCCTAAGTCTGCATGGGCCAGGCTTGGCCTGCCCTGCCCTGGTTAGATCCTCGGCTAGCTCGAAATGGACTGAAGGAAACTTGGACCAGGCGGAAAGGGCCCTGGACTAGAGTGAGTATCTTGTCCAGTAGTCCAGGACCAACTTTGGCCTAATAGATTAAAAGAAAGAATTTAAAAACAAAGAAAAGCATGAGGTCGGGCCATGTAGGCCTTGCGATAGCCCCCAATCCTTTCGCATGTTCCCAAAAGACACCGATTCGGGCCCTTCCTGCATTATGCATGGGATGGAGCTCGCGACTGAGCTGTTTTTTTTTTTTTGAATCATTATCAAATAATTTTCATTAAAAAAAGAAAAGCAAGTTACAAAATACACATAAAGTCACAGAAAGGAAGTAATATGTTGGTGTGCTCCTTTTGCAAGACAATCAAACTCGGCATTAGACTAACAATGCTGGATTTCAGCAGTTATAGTTTTGAATATATCTCATATCTCATAAAAATTTATAGTCAACCTCCATGGTATATTTGCTTCGCCTTTACTCCAAGCTCTCGAGTGAGCCCTAGCTCATCATGAAATCACCAAAATACCCCTGCCATCAAATGACTATGATACCTTAAGCAATCCAAGTGATTTTCCTAGTTTAAAGTACAAGATAAAAATTAAAAGGTAATAAAATTTGGAGGTGCGTCTTAATTAGATTGTTTAAGGTTGAACCTTATAGAAACCACACCCTTTATTTAATTTCATAAAACCCCACTAAAATACTTGATCATGAGTTACAAAATTTGATATTAAATAATTTTTAAAATATTTGTCACCCAAATAACGAAAACACCCTCATCCTTTCTTAAAAACCCCAAATTCCCCCACTAAATGAACATTGCTTTTGTGTGCAGGGAATGGTGTGCCTCACACTCTCAGCCACCCTACCTGGCCTCCGCCCCCCGCCCTGCCCCCCGACCTCACATGACTGCCGGCCAGCCGCCGCCACAGAAGGCCAGCTTGCGATGCTTTATGGCTCGCTGCTTCTCACTGCACTGGGCTCAGGAGGAATCAGGCCGTGCGTCGCAGCGTTTGGTGCCGAACAATTTGAGGAGACTGGCCAAAAACAAAGCACCAAGATGTGGAACTTCTTCAATTGGTACTACTTCTGCATGGGAGCCTCCATCCTTGTCGCGGTGACACTCATTGTGTATATTCAGGACAATGTAGGGTGGGGGTGGGGATTCGGAGTTCCTACTGCTTTAATGGCGTTATCAGTGTTGTGCTTCGTGGTGGGGTTTCCACTGTACAGGCACATGAACCCGGCGGGGAGCCCGTTGACGAGGTTGGCTCAGGTGATTGTTGCAGCAGTGAGGAAGAGAGATGTTGTTGTTCCGGAGGATCCGGGGTTGCTCTACGAGAATGATCTGTTGGATGCGGGCATCTCCGCCACTGGGAGGTTGCTCCATACTAACCAGTTCACGTAAGTACCCTCCCCGACCCCTACTCATTCATGTGGTAGGCCATTTTATATATATTCTGAGAGATGGGCCAGGAGGCCAGTCCGGCCTGGCCCTAAAAGAGTAGGGCTGAGCCACAAACTTTGGCCTGAGCGCACCCTTAAAGCGAAGGGAAATCGAATGATAGGGTTGGAATTCAAAATAAGTAAAGCCTCACCTCATAACTCATCGAAAATTGCAATTCAAGTGTTGGAAAACCTTTAAATCTATAATCTCATCTCGAACATCTAGACCGTCCATTTCGCCCTAGAAATAAGTGTTCGCCCTAGAAATAAGTATTCATTGACCTGCAATTTCTGAACCATTTTTTTTTTTCCAAATTTTATTGTCGGTGTTGAAATTTGATTTTAGAACCATCATGAAGATTTTCAGCGTCAAAAGTGCTTTTGGGATGAGGATTGGAAATGTGGCCTTATTTTGTTTTCATAAAGCCTACGCCCTATGAAAACTTCATCCTGAAAAACAAGCGAAATGCACCCCCCTCGGCTCTTGATATAATTGCTTCCGCATAATTCTGCAGGACATGTCGTGCAAGAGAGAGAGAGAGAGAGAGACTGAGTGAGTGTGTTGCTTTGTTAATCGCTTATATGCGTACAGCAAAAGGATTCCCAAAAAGTTATAGAAATTTTTTGGTGAATATCCTAATATCGTTTTTGGAGCATAAAAATAAATATTTTTAAACTTTTTCTATTTTAGACATATTTTTTTTTGAGATTTTATTTCGATGTCAAAATACCCAAGTTACAAATTCTAAACCGGGAAGTTTCTTTTTTTTGGTGGAGAGATCCGATTGGAACTTCAAGTTCTTCATACTAAATAAATAAATGATAATAATAATAATAATAATAATAAAATAATGATGTACAAGAAGAAGAAGAGAAGTGGGCACCAAAATTCGGGTTTACTATATTTGTTGAGTGAAGGGGTCTCCCACAAGTGAGAGTAAAGGTCACTTGCATTGTGGTCCTTTGGGACCAAATATAAAAATAGTTCCCAAGATGAACTTTTATGACCAGAAAAATTTCAAATAACATTTGAGTCAAGTTCAACAATTTCATAAAGGAAAATAATGACCACGTAACTTTTTGTATATTATGGTCATAGAGGGCAACGATGCAAGTGACCTTTGATTACTCTAACTTGAATGGCTGATTTTTTACTTTTAGTTGCGATCTACCTCTTAATTCCAAAAAAAATTGCCAGCGGGTTTGGTATTAGAAGTTCCGAATTAGATGTATCATTTTTTCTTAACACATAAGCGGCTTGGAACTTCAAGTTTCAAACTCATTTAATCATTATTGTTAGAGCTTTTTTCCAACTATTTGAAGTCGATTACATGAATCCTGATCTACCATTATGCTCTATCAAGGATCATTCCTTCAGTAAACCATAAGTCTTTGTATCTTTTTTCACTACTTCTAATGTTATCTTTTTGGGCCTACCTCTTGTCTTTTTTAAGACTTACACTTTATTTACGAAAAAATCCGTTCGAAACATGAGGTCTCTTAATTGAAAAATTAAACTTTTCAGTTCACAAAATGGAATTTTAAACTTGGGATCTTTTGGAAAAATGACAAATCTCTAAGAAAGAAACATTCGAATAAACATATTATATCATATATATTCTTTTGATCCCACACAAAAACAATTTAAAGAAACTTTTCGAAGGCCATATGATGCATTGATAAAATGTCAAATAATGAGAAGAGTGGGGATTAAAAAGTTCCTTGGAAAGTGACCTTTTAGGCTCAAAGTTCTCTTATATCTTATGATCTTTTGACCTAAAAGAGTCAAAAGATTCCTAATCCCTTCCCATCTTTTCTCCCTATGTCACTTTCTAGAGGCCACTCCACTAGGGACATCAGGGAGAGGCTTAAGACCAAAAATGAGATATTGACCCTTCCTCAATAAGTCCGGGTCTAATCCTAGGGGAGGTGATTTAAATGGACCGTGGGGATTGCTTTAGTGATAATGTCATCTCAAATATAACTTATCTATAGTTTTCATAAATTATTTTGACATAAAATTTGGTCATCTCCCATTAGGCGGTACCTGATAAAAATGATATAAAAAATATTTTTGATGATAAAAAATGCCAAAATAACTCAGTAAGTTAGGGGGCAATTGTAGGGGTATTTTGGTTTTTTTTTTGAAAACAAATTTTTTTTTTGGTGTTATTAAGTGAGAAGAGAAATACCTCACAATTAATATCAAAATACATAAATATTAAAATTCAAATATCTGAACGATGTAGTTAACATGAAACTATTTGAGGCGAACTTTTGACATTATGATTGTAGCTATCTAAGCTGTCTATTCAGAGAATTATGATCATATATATGGGTGGGGCCACATAAAAGGATTTCTCTTTGTAATTGGGTTTGCAGATTTTTTTGTTTAAAACTACCTTGTAGTACTACTAGGTAACCAACCCGGGGCTCAGGACCGGTGAGTTGAGCCGGAGCCCATCCCTTTCATGCTTGAGCTAACCCCACTAAACTATCGCATACTGACTGCTCTGGACATGTAGGTTCTTGGACCATGCTGCGGTTGTGACCCCATCAGACACAACGGACTCGAGCGGGGCCCCCCCCTCGAAGCCCAGCCTGTGGCGCCTGTCCACCGTCCATCGGATTGAGGAGCTCAAATCCCTCATCCGAATGGTCCCCATCTGGGCTGCCGGCATCCCCCTCATCCTAGCAGCAGCACAACAATACACATTCTCCCTCCAGCAGGCCCGATCCATGGATCGGAGGCTCTCCTCTTCGTTTTCGATCCCTGCTAGTTCAATGGGCGTCTTCACCATTGTATCCATGCTCCTAACTGTGTCTCTCTATGATCGACTCCTTATACCCGTTGCTCGTAGATTCACTGGCTTAGACAGAGGCATCAGCTTCTTGCACCGGATGGGCATCGGCTTTGCAATTTCCGTTGTGGCGACCTTTGTGGCTGGGTTCGTCGAAGTGAAACGCAGACATAGAGGTACAATTTTTCTTTTGCCATTTGGAAAGAAAATTCTAGTGTATATATACCGTAGTTAACGCCTAGTTATAACCGATTTTTCAAACCTTGGCATAAATTTGCAGCACTGATGGGCGACGGAGTGGAGAGCGTCTTCTGGCTAGTGCCGCAATACATATTGCATGGTGTGGCCGAAGGGTTCATGTCAATCGGGCACCTCGAGTTTTTTTACGATCAAGCGCCGGAGAGCATGCGGAGCACGGCGACTGCGTTATTCTGGACGGCAATATCAGCAGGGAATTACTGTAGCACACTGTTGGTGATTGTGTTGCATAGGTTTACAAATTGGTTACCTGATGATGACTTGAACAAGGGGAGGTTGGAGAGGTTGTACTGGTTGATTACTGGCATCCAAGTGCTCAACTTAGGGTACTATACCTTGTGTGCAAGGTCCTATACTTTTAAGCCACTTGAGTTGAGGGGGGAAGAGGGGGATGAGAAGGTTAAGGGAGGGGAAGTTGAGATGCTGGTGTCTGTTTGGCCTTTGAAGTTTGCAGGAGAGGAACTGAATGAAAGCTCATCTATATGACCACATGTTACAACTCAATGCATCAGTATGCGGATCTTATATGAGAGTGAGAGTCAGAGTGAGAGAGAGATGTCCTTTTCTATTAGTAATGAGATCATGTAACTTCATATTTTTTTTAATAATGGGTAGATGTTTAGTCTTGACACTTGTACTGCTTACTGTTTGAGTCAGGTGAATTTGGAAGTTCTTTTTGGTTTTCTTTTCGGGTGTGGTTTCCATAAGCTTCCAACTTTAAACAATCCAATCCAATCCAAGGTGCACCTCCAACCAAATTCTATGATAATATGTAATTTTGATATAAAAATTTCTTAGAATTATCTTAAAATTTATTTTCATCTCTAATTATACAATTTTAAATTTTAAAAATAGTTAAAATCAAGTAGAACTATAAACATATGAAAATCTAAAAAATGGACGGTCTAGATAATACGTTGCAACATGCAAATATTCAAAATCTCTTTTTTTTTTTTATATTCATACATCTCGATGTCAAAATAATTAATTAGAGGGTTTTTCAACATTAAAATAACTTTTTTTTATGGATTTTTGAGCTGCATACCTAATCCTACATTTCAAGTTTGCAGCCTTACGTAATAAACTTTTTCATTTCTTTTGCGATGTTGTAATAGATGGACGCGACTCTCTCTGCGTAGCTGTAGCAGCAGTGCATTTCCCCCTCTCTCTCTATTTGCAGCCATTGAAGCCCTTGGGATTGAGCATCCCCCTCTCTTTTTACCAGCCATTGAAGCCCTCTCAACCCACACAGAGGGACAGACACCTCTCGCTATAGCTGCAGCAACAGCACATCCCTCTCTCTCTCTCTGTCTATTTGCCCATTGAAGCATCGGAGCTTGAGCATCTCTCTATCCTTTTAGTAACTATTGAAGCCCTCTCAACCCACACAGAGATAGAAGCCCTCTCGTCCGTCACCATTAGCGTCCCCATTATCAGCTCTCCATTGATCTCGCCATTAAAGAGAGCCATAGCCATACGAGAGAGATTAGCTATAGTCATGCGAGAGAGATTAGCTAGAACTACAGAAACAAGTAGAGAGAGAAAAGGAAGAGTTTAACAGTCACATAAAAGACGCAGAAAGTGAAAAAGAAAGTGGCCTGTTAGAGAGAGAGAGAAGGAGAACAAGTGGCCTGTTAGAGCGAATGAGACAATGTGACCTGTTAGAGAGAGAAAGAGAGGGAGAGGAAATTTGGACATAAGGATGTTATGTGCGAGACAGTGAGAGTGAGAGTGAGAGTGAAAAAACAAGTTCAATTTTGTACTCTTTTGAAGAGATGTCAGGCCCCTTTGCATCATGCCACGTCCCTTTCAACGCCTGTGATTGTTAACATGACATGTCGTGCCCTCTTGAAGAGGTGATTCACAATGGTAGCGCGCGAGTTTGGATCTTATGATTGGCAAAGCATAATCCCATCGACGCAGTCTTAAGGCAAATTTTTCATATATATATATATATATAAATAAATTTTTTTAAAATTTATTTTCAAAAATTTATTGTATAGTTACAATTATTTAATAAAGTTTTATTTTTTTATTTTTTTTCTATAAATCGGAATGATCTTGAATTTGAAGCATATATACATCCAAGTGATGTGCACTTAATAAAAAAAAAAAATTTCATAAAATAAAATTGATCAAAATACCTTTTGAAAATTTTCAAGGGTATTTTTTTGGTCAATGTTTTTCATGTAAAATATTGTTTTGATATTTTTCATAGATTCGCCTATTTTTTATGAATACACGCTCCAAATTTCAGGTCATTCCGATTCATAGAAAAAAAAAAAAAAAGATACTACTGAACAATCGTGACTGTGAGATGAACTTTGGAAAGTGATAAATGTAGGTGAAATCACTTTTTATTTTCGCCTAAAAGCATTAGAAAGACTTTTCGTTTTATATATATATATATATATATATACATATAGGCTCTTTCACTCGCCCTCTGCAAAGCTTCTAGACCAGGCAAAGTTCTTCAGCAGCAAACAAACTTGTGAGTGACATCTAGATTGTATCCCTGTTTGGATGATTTTATTTGCTCGAACGAATCCAACCCCAAATCAAGGATACAACCATTTTTTAAAAAAGAAACCCCAAATTGAAGAGTTTCAATGAACCCTACATTTTTTCCTAATGAATCACCAAAAATAGGAGAGGAAATCATAATCACAGAAATTGAAAGAAAAAACTACAAATGGGAGAGGAAATTTTCGTTTTGGTTAAAAATAAATTAGGTAATTTCTGATTATCACAATTTAAATCGATCACTTAACATGAATAAACCCCAAATTGAAGTGTTTCAATGAACCCTTATCACAACTGGGGTTTTTCTAATAACTAGTAACTGGATATTTGTGTTTTCTGATTTTGAGTTCTAAGTGGGGTAAAATTGCTGCTTTTTTCTTTTACTTTTTTGGATGACAGATTTGTGAATTGTTTTTTATTTTGCTTTTGTTGGGTATGAATATGCATTTTTCCTGTGCATGATTTCTTGGATTCTCTTTTATCAGAGATATGTTGGATTTTATTTACTGTTGGTATGAGAAGCTGTTTCATGGAGTATGTTGTTTACCTGTGAGTTTTGCATTCTTTGAACTCAAATTTTGGCCTTCCAAATGCCAGTTTTCTTATTTTTTATGCTATTTTCTGATGTAAGTGTTGTATATTTATGTTTTGCTGTGGAACTGAGATGTTGTTTCATGGAATATGTTGTTGCACTATGAATTATTGTAGTCTTTGAACTCAAAATTGTTCGATTTCTATAGAGTTTGTGCTTTTTGAACTCAAAATTGTTCGACTATTGTAGAGGGACCATTGGTTTATGTTTATTTATGAATTTGATGGGGTAAATCCATTCAATCAAATTGTTGTTTGATGCTCTAATCTTCTTTATCTTTCACCATGGTTTATGTTTGTTAATTTCATAAATTTTCACTAAATCATTTTATTACTTGTGAATTTGATAAATTTTGGTTTGGTTTGCTTTGTTTTGTTGAGAGAGGAGGATGAACTCCTTCTAGAATTCATTTACCAAAAGAAAGAGCATATTTGAATTTCTACTTCAATTTCGTTTTCAACTTGTATTTATGTTTTCATACATCAGAGCTCTTGTAATTGTGAGAACATATGAAATTTTTTTTTTTTTTTCCTCAGTGCTCATTACAACCTGAGTTTGGTAGATATTCAGTTCATTGCTTATGATGATATATTAAAAAATGATGGGAGTTGTAAGGGTAGTTTGGTTTGTGTGTTGTGTGCGGTATCATTTGGATAGAAAAGTCAAGTTAAGGTTATCCCATCATATGTGGGCTTCCATGGGTTTTTGCAATATCAGTATGTCAGAAGCAAACACCCTATTGATTGGGCTGTAGAAGATCTCATTGAACACCTTCCTCCCATTGTTGATAGAAAGGAATTTCTTCATCTCATTGGATGGGCTCGATAGGGGGTGCCTATTTACTGGTGTATGTCACAATCCCGATCGTTGTTTCATGCCTTGAGTAAAGTGAATTTTAAAGCTGGTTCATTGGATATGATGGGTTTCTTTGTCATCACCATACCTGTCTTAGAACACTATGGGTATCTACATCTTCTCATTTACTGAAACAATTATTGATTTATTGAGTTGCTTTTTTATGAGGGGGCATGTTTAATTGAGTAGCTTTTCCTTCTTTTGACATTGAATGTTAAAAAATGTTTGTGTGGTTCTAGAAGCAACATCTGATTTTTAGGAAAAATAATAGGGTTGATGAGTTTCCATGACTCTGAGTTGCAGGTATCCAAGAGAGGATGCTAAGATTCACGCTTGGGAAAACCTTCAAAAAAAGGAAAATTCTTTTTGTCATTTTTCATCTTATATTAGTTCCATATTATGTGTATGCTTATCTTCTTGCATTTTTTGGAATTTACTCATGTTTGTCTGGTGTTTTTTTTCTCCATGTGCATGCTATGCAATTTTCAAGCTTTCTGCTTTTCAAGTTTCCTACTTAGCATTTCATTGACATCAGCCACTTACTGGAATGGACAAAATTCTTTTTCCTTTCAGGTCTCCAGATTGGGTTTTGGTTGTACTAGTTTGACTGGAGCTTACAGTGTCCTTTTACCAGAGGAAGATGGAATTGCAGTCATAAAATATGCTTTTGAGTGAAGTCCTAGTTGGAAAGTTATGATTCGTATGAACAATAAACTATTTTTCTTTTGATTTGTCATATTGTTTGATGTTATGAACTGCTCTAATGTGCCACATGACTGGACACAAGAAGAGCAAATGCGGCCTCTGTTTTGGAATTAAACTTAACGTTGGAAAAATGAATAACAACACCTCAACATCTAATGCATTGGAATTCATTCAAAGATTTAGTTCTATATCAAGTGCGTAAGATACTTTTGTCGATAGGCAAGCTTGTATTGTGAAGAGCAAACTTTGCACTATTAAATCTCAACACCCATATAAATCTTCTAAAAATATTTCTTTTCACAGTGTTAAAAGTTGATTGCTTCAAAAAATAACTAATTGCAAGTGAACTTTTCCTTAGAGATTAATTTGTTGAGAGAGTTGGTGTATTGGTTACTACTTGCCAACCTTCAATGATTTTTGTTGTTTTTTGGAATTTTAGGCAGAGCATCCCCACCTGTAGTGAGGTAAGTGGGATAAGGTGTGAGATGAACTTGATAAATATTACTGATAAGAAAATGAATTTGGTAAACAATAATACAGGGTGAGTATGTTGAGCTTCTTCATATGATGCATAAATTTGAACATGCTTTTTATATGGCTTAACTAGCCATCTAGGCTATTTAGCCTTTCTTACTGGCTTCCTTTTATGGGTTTTTGTTCTCTTCTTATAGGAGCTTAGGTTGCACCATGTCAAGTTAGAAGCACTGTTGATCATTGGGTGACTAAGAATGGTGTCATGCATAATTTGTATGAATAATACAATGAGTATGATGGTTCATGCATTTTACTAAGTGATAGATAAGTATGAATAGATGAAGTTGCTTATGTAAACTAATCAATTTTCTCATTTTCATGTTATCTATTTTTGTTTTCATATTTTTACTCCTATCGACATAGTAAATGAGTATTTCAATTAGCAATTGTGGAATTTGGCATGTGTATACTTCACTCACTTGTCCTCAGTTGTTCTTGCTGAAATCTTTTGTCATTTTCTTTTTATATCAATGGCGAAAATTGTTTCAGGCATTGAAGCGCTTACCTCGAGATAAAATCCAATTAGCAACAAAATTTGATATATACATGATTACAGAAACAAAACAAAATTTGTTAGCACATGGTCTTTAATATCAAACTCTACAAATGACCTTTTATTGTGGTGGATAGTGCTGTGGTTTTGATAGCTTGATCCATGTTCCGATTTTCCTAATTTTTATCTCGTTAGGGGGAAAAAATGTCTTCGTACAATACAATTCCTTATGTTAATCATAATATTTTTGGCTCTTAATGTTCTTTAGGAGGGCTTACTTGGTTTATATGCTCTTAGGAAGGATTGAGAAGTTGGGATTATGGTTTCCTAGAGGATGTGATTGTCCTGGCTTCCATCTTATTTGAAAAGTTTCATGCCCCTTGTATGTACAGGCATTGGTGATTTGATTGATCATAGTCAATTATATCCAAGCGAAATTCAGAATCAAGACCCAAGTAAAGCTTTTTGGAAACTTTTTTGCAAGCCTTGCTACAAATCACACATTGTCTCTTTCTCAGAGATCAATAAAACGTTTAAATACATGCTCAAAGGGGACGGCCTTCGCTGCATCATTCAAATGGAAGAGTGAAACTTGAAGAAGCAAAAAAAATTAATTATTTGTAGCTGGTTGAGTCAGCTCAATTGGGTTACCTTTTTGAAACTTCATTTGTATCTGGTTTTTTTTATTTCATGAGGTGTTGAACCTTCTTGTATCTTTCCAGTGGTTTGTAAATGATTGTAATTGGTCGTTGTTTAATTAATGGTAATCTTTTGTGAATGAAATTTCCAGTTTTTGGTATTATTCAGTTTATGTTTTTTTTTTGAGACACGCATAAACAGAGAGAGAGAGAGAGAGAGAGAGAGAGAGAGAGAGAGAGAGAGAGAGAGAGAGAGAGAGAGAGAGAGAGAGAGAGAGAGAGAGAGAGAGAGAGAGAGAGTAGAGAGAGTAGTAGTAGTAGTAGTAGTAGTAGTAGTAGTAGTAGTAGTAGTAGTAGTAGTAGTAGAGTAGTAGTAGTAG